AACGTGCTTTATTCTCTCTCCCTCATACAAATAGAACTGAATGTGAAGAAGTCTTGAATAGGAAGCAATTATGGACAAAAAGCACAAAATACTACAGGAAGTATAGAAAATGCCAGCAACAGCCTTCCCAAGGCTGGCTGCTGAGTCAAACAGTCCACAAGTAGGTGGGGGAAATCATCACCAAACCAGTGATTAATGCAATTCAAAGTAACAACTATTGAATTCTGACACTGAGGTGATGTAGGAATCATGTTAGGAACTGCAGATGCTGAAGAATTTGAGATAACAAGGTGTAGAGCTGGATGAACACAGCAGGCCAAGCAGCATCAGAGGAGGAGGAAGGCTGACGTTTCGGGCCTAGACCCTTCTTCAGCTCTACACCTTGTTATCTAGGAATCGTGTTATTTTATTTTTGTGGTTTGCTGGCTTTTTTGGAATCAATGAGTTAAGGATATCACCTTCATCTGAAGAAGAACTACAAGGAAATCACGTTATCAACAGTATAGTGGGAGGAAAAAAAGAGAGAAGTTAATGAAAAGAAGCCATTAATAACAGGACAGCTGGGTGTCCAAAGAAATAAAAAAAAGTTTCTTTCTCCCCAAGTGAAATTAAATCAGTAAAGGGAGTACAGCAGCCTGATAGGGAAGTAGATGACTGAGTGCCCAAGAAAATTTCAAGATTAGGAAGAGAGTCGTATCGTCAAGCAGTGTAGATAGACGATTTTGTTTTCAGCAGCATTCTAGTGAACTTGTGCTATAATCTCTCAACATCCTTATTGTTTGGAATTTAAAAAAAGTTTTATACACCAACCACCATTATATCTGGTCTTCTATATTTTATTCATTCAGATTAATTGATTAGATTGTGTTAAATAACCTTAGCCACCTAAAGTATGGAATTTAACATTTTGCAAATTGGAGACTTCAATTCTGTTCTCTAGGTAACTCAGCCTTTCCTCATAAAATTCCCTTTTTTGTTAAAATTTCAGGCGAACGAACTCATTTGGACTGATGCTGAATTGCATTCCAATTCTGTGCTCATTCCAACATCTTCTCAATATCTACTGTCCTGCAGTTCTCAGGATTGCTCACAATGACTCTTGCTTGGTATTATCTACAAATCAAGACATTCCGAACAGAAGTGCTCCCAAAACAAATCCACGGAGCACTACCATCCACTTCAAAATGACTGAGAAAGTAGCCCTAATTTACTACTAATTTTCTTCCTTCGAACCAGTTTTCAGTCCCATTTGCTACAGTTCCTTGAATTCCACAACCTTTAAAATTCTACAGACTTCGTGGATGCGGATGTTACGAAAATGAGACAAAAAAGCCACACCGAAGTCTGTAACCTTGTCAAATAATTCTAATCAAATTCCTCCAATACAGTTTTGCTTTGTGAAATTTAGGTTGGCTGCTTCTAATGATTGTGATTTCTATCTGTATTTTTTTGTTCTTTAATATTAATTGATCCAAATACCTGGATTAGAACTGTGCTTTTTTTTTTTTAAAATGGATACAAAGACAGTTCAGTTAGAATACCTGAAATCGCTGTCTAATCTCATCAAGATTTGTCAGCCTACTATAGCAACGTAAAATATCCAATGGGACAAATCAAGATGGCTAGTGAATGGGTATTCTCTTGGCAGCCCGGTCAACATTCCTCCCTCAAACAAAACAAATATTACATGGAGGTGTGTGTGTTGTTTGCTGCTTAGAAGGTGCCACATTTGCCTTCATGATACTGACCACATTTAGAAGTAATTCAGAGATTGCAATTGCATGTCCTAAAAGGTTCAATACAAGTGCAGCCTGAAGAATAACTAAAGTCTCAGCTCACTCAATGTTTATAGAACAATGACTTTAATTAAAAACAATTACGACTTAGTGGAAGAATTATAGACTGTACATTACACGATATGGATACTTCTAGCCATACAAAATAGCCACAGGAGATCTACTTGCAATAAATTTTTAAAAACCATCAGCAAAACACACACACAGGAAATAATCTTAAGAATGCAGGTCATTTCTGAAATGAAGCCCGAAACGAACTTGCAAAGTTCCCTAACCAACTGGCAATCAAACCCTTACTGACCACAAGTGTTGTTTCCTTAGCAATGAGACTTTGACCTTTAAACAGAATATGTGGTAGCACTGTTCATATTCAAACTAACATTATCTGGCTTATGATGAGCAATATCACTTTTTCTAGATAAAGAGTTTGCTAAGCACATACTTGTTCCTTCATTTCAAGAGCAATATGAAAGATCTTTGTAGATACAAGGTCAAGGTTCATATTTCTGCAACGATAGATAGGGAACATGCAAAGAAAGAGGAAGCTGAAAACATTTGAAATGTTGTCAAGTAACATCTACTCGTGAAGACATTTGGATGAAATCACTTCAACAAACTTATATTAAAAATCCTTAGAACCACCATATTGGGTTTTCCACTAAACTGAAGATATATTATTAGAAGTAGTAACTTGTAACAGTACGACATGAAAAACAAAATATTTAGCATGGTGAAATGTTTCTGCAAGCAGCCTGCAATAACTTAAGCATCTCATGTTCTATCAGGTTACAATTACTGGCATTCATCAATGCCTCCAATTTCTAAACATTTTGATGATTGACAGTGAGAGTGGCTATAATTCTCGATTGCTGAAGGGATGAAAGATCAGAGGTGGGAATATAGAATTGAAGTTAAAGTCAGATCAACTATGATTACATCGAATGGCAGTGCAGGCTTGAAGTGACAACTGGCGTACTCTTGTTCCTCATTCACGCATATTACAGTGGTTCTGAGACACACCACTTCCAATAACCAAGATTGAACATTGCAAGGGAAATGAATGAAGCTTATGTCGGGTCCCAAACATGCTAATGATTTAATTAATACTTTTAGAAAATGTCCAGACAGATGCTTGGTGAAGACAAGAATGCAGTAATGCCCATTATGACTGATTAGCACACAGACATGTCAATTTCGCTCACACATGCTAGGTGGGTACCTAGCTGAATACCAGAAGGCTGAAGATGTCTACAAGCCTGCATTTGATGGAAAGGAATGCTTCAGTGGTTAGGCCACAGTATAAGTTTAGATGGGAGGAAGTTGTCAATATCAAAACATTTGCTATATAGAATTTACAAGCTAAGCCAGATTTTATCTTGTACCTAAAGATGTTAAAATGGTCAATAGGATCACTTTGAATGCTTGTGAGTTTAAACTTCAGACTGCTTTAATATGTTAAGCAATGTCAGATATGCAATCCATTCTGTAGGACAGATACTGCCAGAAAAGATAGTGGAGGAATTAATATTGCAAGTCTACATTGCTTTGCTTACAGTTTCCTCAAATCAAGGAGAAAATTATTGGTATGTCAACGAATAAGCAAGCTCAGCCCACCAAACAAACATTTTCAGAACCCACACTGAAGTGTGTGTGGAATGAGACAGAGACTTTAAACTGGTTATCACTCAAGGATCAAGTGCATCTTCAAAATGAGGTATGGTAACATACTTGTTATGTTGCAAGATTTGCAATCAAGAGGACTAACAGATTTGTTAGACCTCAGCACAGTATTGAGTACAGTTCTGGGCGTCACAATTTAGGTAGGATGTGAACACCTTAGAGAGAGTACAGAAGAAATTTATAGGAATGGTTCTGGGTATGAGAAATTTCAGTGTTGAAGACAGATTGGCGATGTTGCGACTTCTTTCCTTGGAGACAAGAGGCAAGAGGAGATCCGACTGAAGCTTTCAAGATCATGGGAGAGATTTGGACAGAATGGACATGGGGAAATTGTTTTCACTCGTAATAGGATCAAGAATGAAAGAGCACAGATTTAAAGTGATTTGCAAAATAAGTGAATAAGAGGCGAGAAAAAAATCTTCTCCAAACAGCAATTGGTGAGGATCTGAAATGCACTGCCTGGAAGTGTTGCACAGGCAGGTTCAATCAAGGCCTTCAAGAGGGCATTAAATGATTATTTATATAGAAATAATGTGCAGAGCTATGGGGAAAGGGCAGGAGAATTACGCTAAGTCACATGCTTATTCAGAGAGCTGGTGTAGATACAACAGCCCAAAAGGCTTTCAGCACTAAGTATACTACAGTTCAAACGCGAGTTCAAATCTCATCCAACTAGGGATTATACACGTTAAATAATAAAAGCAAGTATCAGTATCTCAAACCACTTAGTTATTTCAACATACCTACCTGGTTCACTACTGCTCTTTTGGGAAGGAAATTTCTCATCCTTATTCAGTTTGGCCCGTAAGTGACTCTGGCCCAACAGCAATGTGGTTCACTCTTAACTGCCCTCTGAAATGGACTGGTCAGCCCATAATTGAGAAGATGGCTCATCGCCCTCTGCTCAAAAGCAATTAAGGATGGGAAATAAATGCTGGCCTTGCCAGTGACATCCACATCTAGTCAATTGACAAATAATAGCAATTGCGTACAATTGCTGTCCTGTAAATGCTTTTACTATGAGTAAAACCTAGCAACTCAAATTGAACATAAAACAAACTGGTGTTATAAATTCAGAGATAGTGGGAACTGCTGATGCTGGAGAATCTGAGATAACAAGGTGTAGAGCTGGATGAACACAGCAGGCCAAGCAGCATCAGAGGAGCAGGAAAGCTGATGTTTCAGGTCTGGATTGATGTGTGCGCCCTTTGGGCCAATGTCTATGTTTGAAGTGATCATGCAAACTGGCGAACTAAAGCTGTTCATTACCAAGGTTACGAGATTTTTAGAGGGACTGCAAGTCACGAGTCTACAGTTTGTGCAATATTGAGCATGAGAGATCCGTTTACATGAATGCAACAAAATGACTTAAATGGAAAGGAAAGATTGATCAAATGCTTTAATCCTTAATCACAAACAAGTACTGTGAATAATGACCGCATGAGGATGAACAAAACAGCAAAAATAAAAACAGGTAACTAACGCAACGGAAAATGGACTCACATTGAAATGTTAATTTCATACCTCATAACGGTTTCGAGATGCAGCATAATGCAATGGTGAGCAACCATTCTGATTGATAGCGTTGACTTGTGCTCCTTTACCAATCAGCACCTTCACGATTTCCTCTCGACCTGCTGATGCAGCGATGTGCAGTGGTGTCCAGCCAACCTGCAAACAAAAAAAATTGCCAGAACACTGGTTAAGGAGACTTGCAGAATGTGAATATTAAGAAACAGAAAATGCTGGAAATACACAAGTTAGTCAGCAACTGAAGGAGAGGTACACCCATTTAACAGAACTGATCAGATCACCTTCTTCGTTTACATCTGTTGACTGTCCTGTGAATTGCCATTTTAGTTTTCCAACACTTCCATTTTTAAAAATTCTATTAGCTTCCTTTAAATAATGACACAGAATTGAAAGTTAGTACTATCGAGATTTTAAAACCTAATACCAAAATGGTAGATCAAGACATCTCTGCAATCTGCCTTGACAATACATGAGCACCCTCTTATGGTGTAAATGTAGATGATAACCTAGGTGATTCTTTCACCTTAATTGGGCACTTTTAATAAGAAAAAATTGGTTTAGATTGCTCTAAAATTTATTTGACATAACTACTATCGCAACTAGAGAAACAACTGGGAAGATGTAGAAGATCCAGCTGATACAAGTGAAATACTGCATATATTGGTTACTTGTTTTTGAACAGTGTACTTTTTTCAAAACACCAGCTTACTTGGTACAAATTGTCACTTAGCTAGGTCACCAAGAGAAATCATAAAAATAGTAACATTGGAAAATAGAAGTCTGACAAGAGGAGCAAGGTTGCACTTCAGAAGGTGGAATTCAAGAATATTAAATTTAGCACAGTAAAAGAAGCTTTATGCTCCAATTCAATAAGCTTAGCAGTGTCATGTGATATTGTTAGAAACTGAAAGAACATTCAGTTTCTTAGTGCTTCAACTTCTAATTTGATGTGTGATTCACATTAAAAAAATAACTCCCTTGAACATGGAAACAGAGCCTTGTCTCTTAACCCGTAAAGCCTATTTTGGTATTTACTGAGGTCACAGCTGATTTGCGAATTAACTCTATATCTCTGCCTCTGACCCAAATTTCTTTAAGTCTTAGATTTAAAATGAACAACTGACCTAGCCTCAAATGTCATTTGTGGAACAGAGTACTAAACTTCTACCATCCTTTTTGTGCACTAATGTTTCCTAATTTCACTCTTGGGAGGTCTGCTACTAAATTTAAAACCATATCCCTTTCACTCAACCAGCAGAAATAATCATTCCTTACCTATGCTATTTGATTCCTTAACATCTGGAGAATTTTGACAAAACCGCCTCTGAAACTTCTAAATTCCAACAAATATAACCCTTGCTTCTGTACTGTCTTTTTGTAACCTAATGCTTAGAGTACACGCATAATTCCAGGAATTCAAGCTTGGAACCCCAGTGTCAATATACCATTCCCAAGGTAACAGGAGCTATTCACAATATGCCAGATGTGATCCAAACAGGGCTACATCTGTTCAAGGGCTACTATTTGTATTCTAATCCACTAAATAGAAAGGCCAGCATTCTATTACCTTTTTATTATTGTTGTGTGCGCGTTCCTGACATTTAATCATGTCCATAACCAATCTAGTCATATTAGACCTTTACCACTTTTAGCTTTCCACCAGTTGAAAGTACTCATCGATCCTTGTAGATTTAACACAGATGAACTTCCAGTTATTTCCACTGTATTTGTCACACTTTTGCACATACACTCAACTAGCAGAAATAATCATTCTTTATCAATGTTCTCTTTGTAATTTTTATGCTCCCAGATATATTTATTACCTATCACCTATGTTAATATCCTAAGCATGTCTGGATACATGGCTTTCCAACTTATTGTAAAAGTAGCAAATCAATATTGAAAATGGAGACCTCCTGAACAGCTCTTCAAGCAGACATGTTGTCAATTAAAGCACCTGCTCATTATCCCTTCACTCTGTCTGCTGTCCGTTAATTTTCTAACCAGGTTGATAATTTGCCTTCAATTCCAGAAGTTTCAACTTTATCCAACAGTCTGTCATGCAAGTTTTTAATCCAATAACTTTAAGAAACCCATAAAAATAACATACATAGTCATTCCCTAGTCCATCACTTCGGTCACCTCTTCAGAAAATTCAATCAGGTTTGTGGGGCATATCTTACTCTTTACAAATCTACAGTCGTTCTCTTGATCAGCAGGACATTTTCAAAATGTTCAGTTCCTTATTCTTGTTAGAAAATTGTTAGCATCTTCTATTATTAGATATTGGACTAACCAGTCTCCCTCTCTCCTTTCCCAAGTAGCAAAGTAACATACACAATTTTGAAATCTAAAAAAGGACAATTCCCAACTTGTATCAGCCTCACCTATTTCCTTCTCCACGTTCACCTCACCATTTGTCCTTCTTTTAGTGCTACTTTTTAAAAAAAAATTATTGTTATGTTGCTTCCATCAACTTGCGAGACTCCCTGTCACGGTCACTGGTGCACGGGATGTCTGGTGTACTGAGCCCTTTTTCTCCCCCCCCAACAATGTCACCATTATCAATTTTCAAAGGGATAACATTGCTGCTGGTCACCCCTCTTTTTTTTCCCCAAATGTAGTTGAAAAATTTTGCATTGATTCTGATGTCACTTACACTGGCACCAAAGTGAGAGTCAAAGTGAGTGAAGGAGGATGGTGGTGTTGATGGAACTAATCAGTTCAATCAAGTTCAGTTGAGGATATGGCAATTGAAGATGCATCACTTGTCTGAAGTCATTAATCTCTGTGTCACCGCATCCAAGTCCTCACAGCAATACTGCTGGCACCCACCGCGATGGCTAGTATCTTTCTGATGAGCCTCCTCGTCTCCTGTTCGTACAGTGCCTGTCTCCTCCTGTCCACCCCCTGCAACTATGCCCCCAGTGCATTTTCAGAGAATCTAGAAGACTGTTGTCCGCTATGCTGTGCCATTTTATTATCCTTCTCAGGTCAAGTTTACATTTAAAAGACTCGCAGCTCTTGTCAAAATAAACTTCCCTCTTTGGAGCTACAAGCTATCTTGAACTTTTGCTTACCTCTCACGGTTTTGCATCACAGCTCAGGCGTGCAGCCACACAGCAGCACCAAATTTTGTGTGCATCCTACCTCAGAAGTAATGACTGAAAATTAACTGCTCATTATGATTCCCATACCCAGCTCCCAGCCTTAGTGTATTTTGTTGTCAACATATTTTATGTGGATTTTACATTAACTTGAGGAAAATAGTTTGGAAATACACAGTCCCACTGATTTTATGAAGATCATGTAACCTGTGAAAACACAGCCCTGCACATTTTCATTTAGGCAGCACCCTCACTATAGTAAAAGAAAAAACCAAGTTCCTTATCAGGCATAAAACTGACAAGGACAGGTGACAAAACCATGTCCACAGACTTAAAGGCTTTTAAGAACAATTCCAACTGAAAGAGACAGGTAGAGAGCCAGACATTTGGAATGGAGAAGAGAAGCAGAGCAAGGATAAGGCAAGAAGCAGTTACAGATAATGAGGGGGCTAAGCCATGGAAAGGTCTGGAGAGAAGAAAAATAAATTTAAAATTAATTGCAGCAGTGAACAATAAGAAATAGCTTGAACAAGAATTAACCAACTCTACTCACATCATCTTTAGGATCTACTGGTACTCCAAGACTTAACAGAAAATCCACAATGTCTTTGTGCCCAGCCGAACATGACCAATGTAAAGCTGTCCTGTTATCCTGAGCAAACATGACAAGGAAGTGTAGAAATATTATTATAAATCATTTCATTTTTGAGTCCACAGACTTCACATTTATTATAAATCATTCAAGCATATTCAAGCTAAAATACCAGTAGTTGTAAAGCAGAATGCATGATGAAAATAAATTAGAGCTTCTACTATCACTATTCATAACTCCAATTTACAACATGCATGTAAAAAAGCATTTATCGCAACTTAGGCTCCTTGGGGCAGCGGGTACTGCTCATTGGGCTGTAAAGCAGATCTGCATCCACTGGGTTCCAACAGCAGAGGTTCAATCTCTGTTCCAATGCATTACAGTGACAGACAATTGGTGGTGCTTTTAACACGAGAGTCACCACATCTCAGGTTAGGGGAGAGGTTGAGAAGGTGGGACTTTCATGGTAACCAGTCAGTGCAAGACCATACTTAACTACCATATATGGAGTGCACTGTAAATAAAATTTATAAGTCGTAAATTACTTTAGGATGTCATAGTATGCAGGAAAAGGGAGCATCAGCAATGAGATAACTGACATACATTGTCGATTAAAGAGTTATATTTTTCTTGTCCCAGGAAAATAAAACACTCCCTCTGCACCATGTCCTCAGCCACAAATTAATTGGTCAAGAGGTATAGAGTCATACATCAAGGAAACAGACCCTTCAGTCCAACTCATCCATGCTGACCAGGTTTCCCAAACTAAACTAGTCCCACTTACCTGCATTTGGCCCATATTCCTCTAAACCTTTCCTATTCACGTACTTGTCCAAATGTCTTTTAAACATTGCAACTGAACTTGGATCTACCACATTCTCTGGCACTTCATTTCATATTTGCACCACTGTGAAAATGTTGCCCCTCAGGTCCCTTTTAAATCTTCTCCCCTCTCACCTTAAAACTATGCTCTCTAGTTTTGAATTGCCACACTGAAGGGAAAAGGCCTTGGCTCTTCACCTTATCTATGCCCTTCGTGATTTTATAAACCTGTAGAAGGTCACCCCTCAACTCCTATGCTCCTGGGAAAAAGTCCCAGCCGATCCAGCCTGTCTTCATTACTCAAGCACTTCTAGAGCAGTACATCAAGAAACCAATCAGGGACCAGGCTATTTTAGAGGTAGTGTTGTGCAATGAGAAAAGACTCATTAATAGTTCTGTTGCAAAAGAACCTTTGGGGAAGAGTGATCAAAATATGCTGAATTTTCAAGTAAGTTTCAAAATTTCACATCTGTACTCATTTGCACAAGATGAAACTTGAAACACATTATAATCTTATATACCTCAAGACTCCATGTTTCCTCAATGCAAGGTATATTCATTTAGTTTTGCCAATCTAACAAAATAATTGCCTACGCAGCAGCCAGAGAACTGGAAACAGCGGGGATCCAGTTTCCAAGCATCAGTTTCTGAAGTTGACCATCGGGAAGCTGGTTATAGTCTCTGGTTATAGGGCAGAGTTTCACAATAAAGGGTTGATCATTTAAGGAGCTTTCTTCCCCACACCGAAAAGGCTGTGAACGCTTGGAAATCTCTACCTCAAAGGGTTGAGGATATTCCATTCTGGATCTTTTTTCAAGGCTAAGGAGGATAGATTTTGTTGTCTCAAATAATCAAGGCAGATTAGCCATGTGTTATAGGTCAGACCAGATACCCCACCCCTTAAATATTTCAAGAAAGGTAGCCTACACCCTAACTTTATTCTATTTTAAAGGGAGATAGGAAGTGCCATGTCCCAGATGCAATTCAATTGGTCAAACTACTCGATGTTAAGCAAAATACAATTTATTCAAACACTATAGTTAAAATACAAACAAGAGAAAGACGAATTTAGAATAAGTTAATTATTGGGAAACTTAACCAAAAAATAGATACAGTACCAATTAGTAATATCCCATAAACACACCCTTTGGCAAAAAAGCAAATTCAGACAGATTCTTACACACAGTTCTCTAATCCAGAAGGAAGAAACATGAAGAGGAAATTCAGAGAGAGTGTAGCAGCTAAGACACATTCACTGAAGCTTTCAACTCTTGAGAATCCAAACAGCTTCTGAGTTACTGAAACAGCCAAAACCCAGAAATCTGGATCTGAGAGGTGGCCACACCCATTCAGCTGCTTCCATTGTTCCAACTTTGAAAAAACCTAAAGGATTCACAAGTTGTTTACTCAAGTCATCTTCAAGTAGCCAGTTCAGCAACTCTGTCTTGCAACCTCTCCAAAACAAACACAAAATAACCTTTTAAAGTGACAGCATCATCATATCCAATGATGGTGGAGGGATTATATAGTCTTCTCATTTCATATTTTAAGAAAATGTTAATGTGGGTGTCACTGGCTAGGCGTTGCCCATCCAAGAGGGTAGCTAACAGTCAACGACTTATTGCCAAGAGTCAGGAATCAAACGCAAGGCAAGGAGGAAGATTTCCTTCCCTCAAGGACATCAATGAATTAGATTTTTTTTTAGATTTTTTTTAAAAACAACCATTCATTACATGGCCACCATTAAGTTATCTTTCTTAACTAAGATTTTTGTTGAATTCAAATTTCACCATCTGCTTTGGTGGGATTTAATCCCATGTGCTCAGAACATTGGCATGGGGTACTGGGTTAATACTAATATTACTACCACAACTTCATTTATACTTTATCTGGTCATAAGATGTGGAGGTCACTGGCGACACCTGCATTCATTGCCCATCTTGAATTGCCCAGAAGACAGGTAAGAATCAGCCCTTAAATTAGAAGTAAAATACTGCAGATGCTGGAAATCTGAATGCTGGTGAATCTCAGCACGGCTAACAGCATCTGTGGACACAGAAACAGAGTTAACATTTCAAGTCCAGTATGACTCTTCAGAACTCAATGACGGTTGTGGGTCTGAGTCTTATTTGGGTCAGACTAGGTAAGCAGAGCAGATTTTCTGCCCGGGGACAATAATGAACGTGTCTATGCTAAACCATAAATGATCCCATTATTCTAACCACATAATGCATCTAAGTTAGCAATTTTTGCATTCTGCAACAAAGAACTGCTTCTTCGCCGCTGTTCAGATTTATGAACGGACCTCTCATATTACAGGTAATCTTTCTCTACACCTTCTCTGTAGCTATAACACTGCATTCTGCCCTATTACCCTGAGGTACTTCAGTAAAGTATGATTTGTCTGGTTAGCATACAATACAATACTTTTAATATATTTTGGTACGTGACAACAATAAATTCAATCGAATCAAATGAACCATCGAGATTCAACGTCTCAAAAAACCTTACAAGGCTACGCGGAATGGCTTACTCTAAAGGGAGCGGGCATGGAGCCAAAAGGCTTCTTCGACAAAGGCAGTGGAATACCTATTTCCAAAGGAACTGCAAGCAAAACTCTCGGGACCCCAAATCAATCCTCACAATGGGAAAGTGACTCAGCACAGCCTCTTGACAATATAAACTATATTAGGGAGATTTTAGCTTACTTGGTCAGTTATGGTGGCCAAGCTCTTATTTGACAGGATAAGTGTCTTAAGCTGCTCCAGGTCTCCTGTGTAGGCCAGGTTACAGATCTCCACGTTAGACACCGAACCATCCATGATGCTGATTCACTCTCATAGCAACCGAGCAGAAACTTCACTTCCGCCAAACCCAACAGCCCTTCCGGTTCATCACATTCACATAGCACCTGACCTGACTCCGCCTACTACACCCCGTCACGTGTCATTTACCCCGTCACGTGTCATTTACCCCATTGCCGACGCAGTGTCAATCAGACTGACACTGACCCCACCCTATGCGGTTTGTATTACATCATTGTCCTGGCCTCCGTCTCGGAAGGCAAACGCCTGACCCCGCCCCACTTGGCTGTCAATCACACCATTTCCTACAACCTCCTCCCCAGACAGGGACATCCACAGCATTGTTTAAGAGACAGTAGGAACTGCAGATGCTGGAGATAACAAGGTGTAGAGCTGGATGAACACAGCAGGCCAAGCAGCATCAGAGGAGCAGGAAGACTGACGTTTGAAGGTCTAGGCCCGAAACGTCAGCCTTCCTGCTGTGTTCATCCAGCTCTACACGTTGTTATCTCACATCCACAGCATTGTCCTGGTTCCCCGCGGCTGTCAATCACGAGATTGACCCCGCCTGCTACCAGAGACATCCGCTCCATTGTCTCCGCTCCCCTTGGCTGTCAATCACAAAACCTGCCCGGCACTGATCCAAGTGTACGTCGTTGTCCCCGCCCTTACCCTGCTGTCATTCAAAGCGTAGCTGACCAATTAGATGAAACAAAAACATACCGGGTACTGATTCACACGTCAGGTGCCCTGCTAGATTTCGTTCTGCAGGAGGGGGACCTCTTTAATTAGTCAATGGAGACACAGGCTGACAGTTAGCGACTGGAGAAGTTAGCCGTTCCTCGTTCCTCCGTTGAGCTTTGGGCCCTAGCAACGGAGGCCGGCCTTTAGCCGACATCACCTCACACCGGCTGCACGTCACTGTCGGGTGTGGTGCATTCTGGGAATGGTAGTCCACCATGTCCTAGGGGAGACAAAGGCTTGGGGAGTGGGAGGACTACATTGACCAGAATCCAGTGCGCACCCTGCGCAGGCTCATTGCTCTGATCCTGTGATGACACTGACAGGACTGAGAATGGACGCAGGTAACGTCTTAGCTGTTGGAACAAAACTAATAGATGCATTTCCAAAACTATCTCAGCCTTCCTTTTGTTAAGCGTCGTTTCTAAGTTGATCAGTGTTAGATGATAGTGTGGTCGGAGGTTAGATAAAAGCTGTGAGTGCAACTACATTTATGGTTGTTTCGAGGCCACAATAAGTATTATAACAGTTAGTATTGTGGAAGACGGTATCAATCTGTAGTTTAATTGCTGCTATCGTTTGATCATTTATTTGAATCTTATAATTCATTATTTACGGTATTAATTGTTCAGAAACTGAAAGAAGCTCTGTGAGTTTGGATTTTACCTGATGTCAAATTATTTGTTATTATTTATTAAAATGTTCAAAGGAGCTCCTTCTTATCAATGCTTTTCGCCTGCTCAACTTTTGTTTGGTCAATTATATATTTAAATGTGTAGCTTTTTCAAGTTAAGCGAAGCTCGTAAGATGCGCAGGTCATTCGTGATGTCAAGTTAATGAAAGCTTGTTGGCTGCCCGTTTCACAATGACATGAAACCCTGTCTTAAAATAAAGAGACTTGGATCTAAATAGGAATGACATCCTGTGTTGATTCTTGGTGCCTTGAGTTGACTCTTTTGACAGCTTGTGAGGATTGACCACAGCTGCCCCAGTGCCACATTCTTGCCAATGTTTACTGAATCAAAACCTGTTCAGTGTAAACTTGTCAGGGTAAAAAATATGCTTAGACATGTGCCGGTGAATGTATCTGTGATGTGTTGCAACTCCGAGAGGTGAGACATTCTTTTGAGACATTTATTTAGTAGAAAATGTGATCTTGAATGTCTGCCTACAATATAAAGTAAATACAACAGATCCACAAGGAATCCACCGACATTGGGATGCCACATGTTGAATTTGGCACCAAAGACACAGATTTGAACCAAATTAAACCCTGATGACTTAGTTGACAAATCATAACTTGTTTATTCACTATCAGGCTCTCAAATTCAACCACTACTGAGCTGGGTGATCTCGACCAGGGCAGTGCTACAATTGTTACACTACCCTTGTGAAGAGGTAGGAGACCAGCCTAGTTTTCCACATTTGTTAATCACTGTTCAATAATTAATATAAGAAATTGCATGGATGTGAATCCTGAGTGAGGACAAAGAGGGATGTTGCAATGGTGTCTTCTGTAGCCAAATAGGCTGGCAATAGGAATATAAGACTTAGGAACAACATTAAGCCATTTGGCCTTTTGAGCGGCTCTGTTGCTCCAATGACGATAATTTGTTGTAATTCTTCAAGTAGTACTATACAATTATTTTTATATTTGCCTCAGACAGCATGTTGAAAAAGGCAGCGTAACACCAGTGGCAGTGTAGCTGTTCCTCATTAGCAATGAAGTGTCAACCTAAATTATGTGCTGAAGTCTGTGAAATGTGACTTGATCTCATAACCTCCTGACTAAAGCCACTAAAGCAAGACTTTTTTTTGGAAATACAGGTACCTGATAATAGAAGAAAAAAATTGAATCTTCCACAAATTGTTCTGTCCAGCCTGGTAGAGTTTTTGTTTCAGTATTGATTCGTGGAATGTAGTGATGTTGCCCATCCTTAGTTGTTTTCCTAAACAACTGAAGTTTAATACAACTGATTAGCTTGCTCAGGAACTTAACAGAATAGTCATAAGTCAGACGTTGGTGTGGACTTCAGGTCACGTATAGGATAGGCCAAGAAAGCAGGTTCCCATCCCTAAAAAATATTGGTGATCCTGATGGATTAAGACAATTTGGCAGCTCTTTGGTCACTTTTACTGATGCCAACTTTTATAAAACATCTTGGTTAGTTAAATGAGAATGTTCTGAATGGTTGGTTCAGAAATGTATTTTTGTCGTTGTTTAGGAAGAATTCTTTACTGTACTGTCTTTTTTTTTGTATTGCTACAGTTCTGGCCAAGTGTGAAAATCAAATACCTGGCTTCTCTGATTTACTCGAAGACTTTCCAGACACTGAAGAGCCGACTTGGATTCTGGGAAAACAGTATCACTTAAAAACAGGTGGGATTAATGTAGTAAATAAAGCAAGTATACTGGATCCCTGTTCAGATATAGTGCTATGCTAGGTACGATTGTTCCAGGTTCAAGTTGCTTGTCAAACTGGCTGTTCAGTCTAGGCACATGGAGAGCAAAAATATTCCTGACACACAAACTTGGGTGTCAGAATACAATGTGTGAGTGATTGACAGTATGCAATTCAATGAGAAATCACTCTGTAATTGTGTACTTTTAGAAAAGGAAGAAATTAACAGTGAAGGAAAGAGTTCATCCAAATCAGGTACTAATAACAACTTCTTCGTCCTGTGTCCTCTTTAGTCACAGGTGAGGTACCAGAGGACTGGAGAATAGCCAGTGTTGATCCTTTGTTTAAACAGAACAAAAGGGATAACGCAGGAAATTATTGGAGAAGATTCTTACAGACAGTATTTATTCACATTTGGAAAAACATGGACTTCCTAGCCACAGGCAGCCTGTGGAAGTTGTCCAGGGGAAGTTGTATCTTGCAAACTTAGTCATTGAGCTGTACAGCATGGAAACAGACCCTTTGGTCCGACTTGTCCATGCGGACGAGATATCTTAAAGTAATCTAGTCCCATTTGCCAACTTTTCACCCTGATTCCTGGAAATCCTTCTTATTCATATACCCATCCAGATGCCTTTTAAATGTTGCAATTGTGCCACCCTCCACCACTCCCTCTGGCACCTCATTCCATACACACACCACCCTCTGCGTGAAAAAGTTGCCTGCTAGATCCCTTGTAAATCTTTCCCCTCTCACCTTAAACCAATTCCCTCTAGTTTTGGACTCCCCTCACCAGCCCCCATCCTGGGGAAAAGACCTTGGCTATTCATCTTATCCATGTACCTCATGATTTTATAAACCTCTGTAAGGTCACTCCTCAGCGTCCGAAGCTCCAGGGGAAATAGCTCCAGCCTATTCAACCTCTCCCTATTGCTCAAACCTCCAACCCTGGCAACGTCGTTGTAAATCCTTTCTGAACACTTTCAAGTTTCACAACATCCTTCCTATAGCAAGGAGACCAGAACTGCACACAGTATTCCAAAAGTGGTCTATCCTGCACAGCTGCAACATGACCTCCCAACTCCTATACACAATGTACTGACCAGTAAAGACAAGCATACCAAACGGCTTCTTCCTATCCTGTCTACCTGGGACTCCACTTTCAAGGAATTATGAAACTGCATTCCAAAGGCTTTTTGTTCAGCAACACTCCCCAGGACCTTACCATTAAGTGCATCAGTCCTGCTCTGATTTGCTTACCAAACTGCAGCACCTCACATTTATCTAAATTAATCTCCATCTGCCACTCCTCGGTCCATTGGCCCATCAGGTCTTGTTGTACTCTGAAGTAACCTTCTTTGCTGTCCGCTACACTCCAATTATGGTGTCATTTGCAAACTTACTAACCGTACTTCCAGTGTTCACATCCAAATCATTTATATAAAACACAAAAAGCAGTGGACCCAGCACCGATCCTTGTGGCACACCACTGGTCACAGGCCTCGGGACTGAAAAGCAACCTTTCACCACCACACTTTGTCTTCTACCTTTGAGTCAGTTCTGTATCCAAATGGTAGTTCTCCCAGTATTCAACTTAACAATGCTAACCAGTATATCATGCGGAACCTTACTGATGTCATATAGGATCATGTCCACTGCTCTGTCCTCATCAATCCTCTTCAGGACTTCTTCAAAAACTCAATCAAGTTAGTGAGACATGATTTCCCACACACAAAGCCATATTGACTACCTCTAATCAGTCCTTGCCTTTCCAAATACATGTAAATCCTGTCCCTCAGGATTCCCTCCAACAAATTGCCCACCACTGATGCCAGGCTGACCGGTCTGTAGTTCTCTGGCTTTTCCTTACCGCCTTTCTTAAATAGTGGCACCATGTTAGCCAACCTTCAGTCTTCCGGCACCTTACCTGTGGTTATTGTTGATACAAATTTCTCAGCAAGGGGCCCAGAAATCACTTCTCTAGCTTCCCA